CCTCCAAATAGTTTCCAAACTGTACTCCAAGTTCAGATTAGAAGGAGTTCAATGGTGATAATGTCCTAGATTATAGAAATTATTAACAAAACTACAAGTGGATAACCCTATTTGGAAATGTGAGTGAGCCCAAAGAATCCAGTAAATGGAAAGGACATGATAATATACTTGAGAACCTCACAGTATCAGGCATTATAAATGGCAATTTGCTTCAAAAAGGGTGGCACACCTCTGGGATGATGGCATATAATTATGTCAATCAGATACTACAAAGATATCTTCAAGAGAAGATATCTTTCCAGATAGGTAGCGGCAGTTAATGGCTTTGACTTGGCTAGAATAAACTTGCAAGAAAATTTGGGCCATGATATTCTAGGGTTGCATAAAACTGGAAAAAAAATTATGATGCATAGAAGGTTCATTAATGCAGGGCCAGCAACTGAAACGTCCAAATAAGGACCATTCTTACCCAGAATTCCTGCTTGAAACGAGTAATTTCTGTTGGTTATACTCTTAACTCTGAAATGACAGTGAAATTGTGGACAACCAAAATTAAGACACCATAAATGAATAGCATACAGAGGAATGACTCACTTAAATTTAGAGCATCCTTCCTCCCGGTTACTCAACAAAAGCTTGCTGTCAGATTCCAACCGCAAATTTAGTATGAAAAAAGTAATGGAAATCATACAGGGGAATAATAAAGAATTCTGAGGTCCAAGTATAGCACCATTCTTCATCAATATTCTCCTTGGAGACATGAGGATTTGTGCAATAATGTTTCCTTGAAGCCTGAGAAATTTTCAAAATAATCAAAAGCTTACAGTTTCCGGTAACAAGGTGTTGAACATTACTAGAAAAGAAGAAGAAGAAACCTAAACGAAAAAGATAAACATACCAATATTGTCATTGGCACTCGATAAGAAGTTTTCCTGTATTCATGAATCATTTGGGAAATTTGTGAATGTGTCCTCCTGACATTAATAAGAAACCACGTGCTTAATAGCAGATCTTCATTCCAGTTATACAAGTTCTAGCAGCTTTTTACAAAGATGATTAATGCATTAAGAAAATTAGCTCAGTTATCAGGAGAACCGTAAAAGCTTAAACCAGAAATGATTTCAAGAACTATACCAACTCCGAATGAACAATCTTCTATCACACAAAATAAAAATGAATGAATTAAAATAGCATCCTTTTCACTCGACATACACCATTAACCTTTGTTCCTGTTGTAGCTGCTAGACAATAAAATTTTATAATGAGTACTAAATCAGATTGTTTCAGAACGACATTTGTCTTTGAGTGATAGCTTGGTGTTAAAAAAATGAAGAGAAGAGTAACTTAAATAGAAAATTACCTTAAAATGAAACCTGCTTCGGACAAACAAAAAAGTAACATTAAAGTAAAAAAATCAAAACGCTAATTTGATTTATTAATTAAACTTATGAAGCATAATATATGGTAGGAGCCAACTTTTTTCTTCTTATTCTCGTTATTTCCTGAATGCTCAGGTGGCTCTGAAACAAGTGATGGAGGAATGCCTAAGAAAATAATCAAGGACCATCATGCACTCTCAAATATCCATGAACAGTATTTATTCTATCAGAATCTAAATTAAAGCAAAGCAGTGCTGGAAACTGAAAACCTGAAATTAAATAGAAAATCAAGGAAATGTGAGAAAGCATTGTAAACTTCCTTGCAGGTTGAGTTTCGGGGATAAAACCACCGCCGTGTCCGAGAGGAACTCTGATGGCCTCTGGAGCTTGGAAGGATTGAGACAGAATGCCTTTGATGTTGTTGATCTTATAGTTTCGCTGCCAAGCAAGAGTGGAGCAAAGAAACGAGAGTGATTTGCCGGTACCAGTGGGCCACTCGAGCAAGGCGTGACAATGACCATCTTTCTGAGCTCGATCTAGGGGTTATATGACTCTGTGCATGAAAGATAACTGCGTGCCGTACGGCTTGTATGGGAACTCCACTGGAATCCCGGCAATATGGTGAACATTTTTACGATTCTTGGAGTTGAAGAATTTACGATTAGACTTATGACTGGGGACGGCTCCACTTCCAGTTCCAGGCGCTGTGGGCATGGTTTGTTTGGGTTCCGGAAAAGAAAAGCTTCTGCGGACGCTTGATTTTACTTGAGACTATGGAATGGAATTGTAAGCGTGAGGCGGTGAAGTTTTGGCGGGAGTTGAGTTTCTTGTTTCCGTTATTACAAGAAAGAGAGGGAGGGAAAATCAATATATAGAAAACAAACGAGGAAAGGCCCATCCAACTCGAATCGGTGGAAATATTCCGTTGGCGGTGTTGTTAAAATTTTAAATTTTAAATTTTAACATGTATGTAAAAGATTAAATGTTTAATTATTGAATGTATTTGAATTGATATTATCTTGTATTAGTTTTAAATTTATAAAATTAAAAATAATTTATTAAAAAAGTAAAAAACTATTTGGAGTTAAATAATATTTTTTTTAGTTTACTAGAAATGTAATTATCTTTTTTGAAAAGAGGAAATGTAAATTAGTAATCTCTAAAATAGGTAAATAATATTTACAAATGTTTGGGCTTGGGTTTGAATAAATCCACCCATGGGTTTTTCAATCGACATATATTATTGGCTGTCCCTTGTTCCCATATGTAATAGTGTAAGGGGAGGTAAGATAGTAGGTTGTCCCCAACACTAGGTTGAAAACAGCTTCCGTAGGAGACCTCCAAATTATGAAATGCCCTCTATAGGACTCGATCTCACGACCTCAAGATTAAAAATCTTGTGATCTACCAACTGAGCTGGATGGTCATTCCTAATCGACATATATTATTATACTCTTTTAATGAAATTAGAACAATGTATCAAAAGATATCAATATTGATATGTATCAATATCATAGAAAAATAATAAGATATTAATTATTTTGAGGTAAAAATTCGCATCTCACTCAACTTAACATAAATATATACAGTGACGATTTTAAAAATTAAAAAATAAGAGTCCAAAATTTACTACTCGCTCTTTAAAAAAATATGTATGTATTTTTTTCTTTTCCCTATTACATTAAATTAAATTTAATTGTTTTAAAAAAAAATGGGTATTCAAATTACACCCCACCGTGTCCACATACACCTGCCCCATAATTTACACATAAAAAATTTCATTTTTATTCAGTAAAATAAAAACGTAATTGAAAAAAATAGAGAAAAATATTATTACAACTATCTCTAGAATATATAAGGGATAATTACACTATTGTCTTGAATTGGATCGAGAACTTTTCACCCCAAACTAGACCTAACTCAACCTTATTCTCCAAACAAAAAATTGACATGATTCAATCTCAAAATCTTTAAAAAAAATAACTTTATAGAATCGAATCGAATCAAAACTCATCAAATTTGGATCATTTGTTCATCCTAATAAAAGCTCTCCAATTTTTAACCACAAATGTAAGCCTATTTAATTATAGGCCTCAAGCTGATTATTAACCATGTTTTGCAAAACTAAATGTCCCATCCCTCATATAGTTTTGCTATGCTTGATTGGCATCTCTAGGTTCTCACACCCCAACACATTCACTTGGTCATTGCTTCCCGTACGTCCGTTCATGAAGCGTTTCATATTCATGTTGTTTAAGATACTGAGATACTGCTTAAGCGTCTAATCCTTTTTGGTAACTTAATAAAATATTGATGGATAAGCAAGAAGTCAAGGCATATTGATAATGATATGGCCCTCTCCCTCGCCCTCGCCCTCGCCATAGGTAGGTAACTGACTCTTCCTCTTATTAGCTATTAGTGTTAGGTTTGAATATTAAGCTTGGGCTAAGGTAGTTCATTGGACACTGCAGCACTGGGCCTCCATTGCTCGGCGACTTCATGCAGTCTTTGAAATAGACCAACCCGTGATGTAGGCCACCGTGCTAGAGTCCATGGCTCAAGATAAGCCGCTCATAAAGCTTCCTTGTTGATAACAACAGGGGGTCGGCACCCGCGCGGTTCCAGGTAATCATGGCGGAGAGTGGCGTTAAGCAGCGCAGTTTACAGTAATTGTAAACGACTGAGAGTGTCTCCCAGGTTCGTGGCCCATCTTTGATACAGCTAAGCTAGCAGAGAATCAATCTTTCACAGTTGTATTTATAACAGGTACTGACGGAAGGTGAGAAACAAACAGCAATTTGTCGGTAACGGATGGGAATTGGTGGCCCATCTTCATCATGCACCAATCTGCTCTCTTCTCATCTCATATTACAATTTGCGTTTGTAATGTATTTCTTCTTTCACTATCAATTTCCTCAGCCGGATTTTACTTTAGGATAAAACGAAAACCATCATTTTTTCCTTGACCTTTCATTCAAGCAAAAGGTTCCTACCCCATCTTCAACCACCGTGAATGATTAAGTTCCAGCTTCAGTCACTAATGTGTTCAAGTGGTCACTAATAGTGGTATCACTGTAGTACTTTAATTCACATTTATACGAGTAAATTGGCGATGTTTTTTAATTAGAAGTTCAAATCCTCATTGAACTCGTGGGTCTTTAAATTCGTGTGGATAACAAAGTCCAGCGTCTCTATTCAGTTTATTTTAAGTTTATTGTGTGGTTAAAAACAGCAAGAAGCATCAGTTCCCATCCCCGCACCTGAATTATGATTCTCTGAATGTGTTCCTTTTATTTTTTATCTGGTAATATTTACTTGGACATTTTTTTTCTGTTTTTGTATCCCTGTCGGCAGATGATAATAGAGTGTCCCCCCCCCCTCCCCCCAACCCACACACGAAAAAAAAAAGATGAAGAAAAAAGAGGAAAAAAGCCATAGGTATAGAAGTACAAGGCCGGTGGGTTGTTTGGTGAAAGTTACCAATTCTCATTCCTAGATGTGCTATTTCAGCTGCTGACTGAACTTTTTCTTTTGTTTTTTTATGTTATAGCTTCCTTATTGCTTTATCACAACTTGCTAATTATTATTTTTTACTCTGCTTTTCTTTCTTTACTTCGCTTTTTCTGGGTCGGAGATAAGGAGCTTTAGTGCAGTTACTTATTGGGGGTTCCATTTTCACTCAAATAAATGAATATTATATAACACTTGGCCTCATGAATGACTGTGCTATTCTTAAATCTTGATGCTTTAGTACGCTATCTTTTATTGGGTGGAATCTGACTCTGATTTCCACTAACTATTATAGTCGTTGCTTTTATTTGTCATCTCGGTCTGTTCAATTACCACAATCTTTTTAGGTATTATGATCATTGGTTTATAGAAACATAATGAAGTACTCGGGTTGGTAGGTGTTTGTTAACTTGATGGTTTTGTTCGTAGGTAAGGTTAAATAGACATGGGTTTTCGTTATTGTTCTTGCTTGATCATTGAAATTCCTTGCCATTCCATGTTCTTTTTCTGCTGAAGTTTTTTGGTTCTTAATCTGTAACATAGTATATGCATAATATATATTTTAATAATTTTGATCTGAGAAACTTTTGGTTCCTTTTATATGTAGAGCTTCTGAATCAATTGGAGGCAATAGTGGACTGGATACATCTTGTGTCGGTCAAGTTGGTAGTTGACCGAAATGAACGTGACTGGCTTTATTTTCTTACTCCTTCTCTACTTAGGAGTGTTTCAAATTGTTTGCAGTAGAAATGCTTCTGCTCGGCCAGCCGTTGTAAATATTGGAGCAATGTTTAAATTTAACTCTACCATTGGACAAGTTGCAAAGATTGCTATTGATGAAGCTCTGAAAGATGTGAACTCCAATTCAAGCATTCTCAAAGGAACAAAACTTAACATAACACTGCAAAATTCCAATTGTAATGGCTTTCTTGGCATGGTCGAAGGTATTCCACAATCCATTAATCTGCTTTGGGAATTACTTGTTTTTCTTACATATAATGGTCAAGACAGAATATCGTTTGCTCCTGATAATTAACATACTCCAATTTATGTGTTGCATAACAGCTTTGCGGTACATGGCGACAGATGTCATTGCAATTATAGGTCCACAGTGTTCTGTGGTTGCACCTATTATTTCACATGTTGCAAGTGAACTCCAAGTTCCTCTACTGTCGTTTGCAGCTACAGATCCGACCCTTTCTTCACTTGAATTCCCTTTTTTTGTTAGGACAACACAGACTGACTTGTATCAAATGACGGCTGTGGCTGATATCATTGATCATTATGGTTGGAAGGAGGCCATTGCAATATATACAGATGATGATTGGGGGCGAAATGGTGTGTTTGCATTGAAGGATAAACTTGCAGAGAGGCGCTGCAGAATCTCCTACAAAGTAGGTATTCAACCATATTCTTCAGTGACTCGGGGTGACGTCATGGATATTCTTGTTAAAGTAGCATTAATGCAATCTCGAATTGTTGTTCTGCATGTAAATCCAGTAATAGCGTTTAAGGTTTTCTCTGTTGCAAACCATCTTGGAATGATGGGAAATGGTTATGTGTGGATAGCTACAGATCAGCTTTCATTAGTTTTAGATTCCAATTCTCCTCTTTCTTCTGAGACTATGGACACAATGCAAGGGGTTCTAACTTTACGTCAACACACACCTGATTCAGATAAAAAAAGAGCCTTTTTTGCTAGGTGGAACGACATAACCGGAGGTTCTCCAGGATTGAACTCTTTTGGGCTATATGCTTATGATACAGTTTGGCTGCTCGCTTATTCTCTTGATGCGTTTTTCAACCAGGGTGGGGTTATCTCATTTTCTAATGATTCTAGGATAAACTCTGTGGCAGGCAGTACACTCCACCTTGAAGCAATGAGCATTTTCGACGATGGAAAGCTCTTGCTGAAGAACATATTGCTGAGTGATTTTGTTGGTTTGACAGGCCATCTTAAGTTTAATTCAGACAAGTCTCTTATTCTTCCTGCCTATGATATTATTAATGTTCTTGGAACTGGGATTCGACAGATTGGTTACTGGTCGAACTATTCTGGTTTATCCACTGTATCCCCAGAGACACTTTATACAAGACCACCAAACCGTTCAAGTGCTAACCAAAAGCTACACAGTGTAATTTGGCCGGGAGAGACATTGTCTACGCCTCGTGGATGGGTTTTTCCGAACAATGGAAAGCTATTGAGAATCGGTGTTCCAAATAGGGTCAGTTACAAGGAATTTGTATCGCGGATTCAAGGAACTGACATGTTCAAGGGATTTTGTATAGATGTATTTACAGCTGCTGTTAATTTATTACCATACGCTGTTCCATATAAATTTATCTCCTTCGGAGATGGTCGTAAGAACCCAAGCTATACAGAGCTTGTGAATAAGATCACAACGGGTGTGAGTAATCAGTATGAGTTTGACTACTGTGTTATTTTGTTATATGTGAAATATTGCTTTCTCCTGCCATCTAATTGTCGTAATATTTCTGCAGGACTTTGATGCTGTTGTGGGTGACATTGCCATTGTTACAAATCGGACGAGGATAGTTGATTTTACCCAGCCTTATGTTTCATCTGGGCTGGTCATTGTAGCTCGGTTGGAGAAACAAAGAAGTGGTGCTTGGGCTTTTTTTCGGCCATTTGGTCCCCGTATGTGGATTGTCACTGCTTCCTTCTTTATCATTGTCGGAATGGTTATTTGGATCCTGGAGCACCGGATAAACGATGAGTTTAGGGGCCCACCTAAATATCAAATTATAACCATTTTATGGTGAGTGATTATGTTTACAATTTATTGGTATGCAGACAGCGGTAGTATGTTTGGAAGTAGGATATGAGTGTTTACATATATAGTGTATGTAATCCTTCGTGTGAAGGAATTTATTCATGTTCGGTCAAGTGTCATTTAAAGCAAAATGAAGAACAAGAGGCCAATTTTTTTCTTTCAATCTTGAAATGGAACTGGAAAGAGAAATCCGTGAGTGATGCATTGTGTAGTAAAAAGTAATGGAAGCTGTCACAAGCATCCCCCTCCCCCTCTCACACCACTCTTTTCTGATCTTGCTATGAATATCATAATGCTTGGTTAGTTTAAGTTTTTTCTTTTTATTATAATTATTATTATTGCCTGGTTGTATCTGGTTGTCATTCACTTTTCTTTCTTTTGAACAAAGCGTACAGTTACTTTCATCCCTTTCAGTTTTATCCTGATGTGAACTAATTTGCAACTTGTGTGCTATCCTGGCAGGTTTAGCTTCTCAACGATGTTCTTTGCCCACAGTAAGTAAAATTTCCACTGTTATATATATATATATACACACACTATTAAAAAAATAAAGAACTTAAGGCAAGGCAGAAATGATGTATGGTAAATTTGATTAAGCTGGTCACTTTATATTCCTTTTGCAGGAGAGAATACTATGAGCACGCTTGGGCGTCTAGTGTTACTTATATGGCTCTTTGTGGTTTTAATAATCAACTCCAGTTACACCGCAAGTCTGACATCAATCCTCACAGTGGAACATTTATCTTCTCCAATTAAAGGACTTGAAAGCTTGGTAACTGATAATGAGCCTATTGGATATCAAGAAGGCTCTTTTGCGGAGCGGTATCTAAGTGAGGAACTAAACATATCTAGATCTAGGCTTTTTCCTCTTGGATCACCTGAAGAATATGCTTCGGCCCTTGAACGTGGTCCTGAAAATGGAGGTGTTGCTGCTATAGTCGATGAACGTCCATATGTTGAGCTTTTTCTCTCGAGCCAGTGCAAATTCAGGATCGTCGGTCAAGAATTTACCAAAAGTGGCTGGGGTTTTGTGAGTATTTCTTTTCTATCATTGTGAGGATTGGAATAACATCACATCACATGCATTTTAGCATCATTGACCATTTTTAGTTTTTCCATGGCACATCACAAGGCAAAATTTTTTGCTAATAAATGAGTCAAATTCATACATTCATTAAACAAAGAATTGAAATGGCCCCCATTATTGGCAGGCATGCATCCTTTAAGTTGCGTAATATTCTGACTAGGCATTTCCTCGGGATTCTCCGTTGGCAATTGATATGTCAAGTGCAATTCTAACACTTTCTGAGAACGGCGATCTGCAGCGGATACATGCAAGTGGCTCTGCAAAGCACCTGCAGTTGGAGAGTACAGAGATAGAGACAAGCCAACTTAATCTATCCAGCTTCTGGGGTCTATTTCTTATCTGTGGGATTGCTTGCTTCGTTTCTCTTCTCATATATTTTCTGCAGATATTGCAGCAGTTACCACCTGCTCCTGAATCTGCTTCAAGAACAGGTCCAGTTCGCTCACGTTCTCGACGACTGCAGAGGATTTTGTCACTATTGGATGAGAAAGAAGACCAATCAAAAGGTGGCCAGAAGAGAAGGAAAGTAGACAACGATGGGGATGAAGAGTTGGGGAGTTCGCCCAAGAGGAGAGAAAGGAACAATAGCAATAGCAATAGGAATGTAACCTGGAGCAATTAATTGCTTCCCACTTCATTCATTGGAGTTGGGCATACCTGACTGTTAACTATGCCACTGTTCATGTGTTCAAAGGCAAAGCATTGGTTGTTGGGTATATTATATGTTAGAAGGATTTTGATTTCAAGCACAGCAACAAGTAATTCAATCCAAGATTATTGCGACTTTTTTATAGCTTCAAGTTTCAAATGTAGTTTGATGATTCTCATCATGTCACTCTGATGTTATTACAAAATGAGACAAATGATAACATGAACATTGGAAAACCTTGACCACTGACCATGCCACCAGCATGGAAACCAAATTTAAAAGGGAAAATGAAAATTGCAATCATTTAAGCCTCGTAAACTTTGCATTCTTCATCAGCTGGGTTTGTCTCGCAGAAATCTTCCAAGGGGTCAGCGCTTCCGGCTACAGGCATGCCTGGCCATTTGCTCGCCACCAAGTGGGCCAAATCAACAACCCTTTGGCTGTAAATCACAAACATCAATCACATTGTAACAGTAATTAGTATATAAGTTCAAATACAGAAGATTGAAAAGTTGACTACTTGGCTCAACTATTTTTAGCTTGCTTTAAGCTTACCTATAACCCCATTCATTGTCATACCAGGCCACCACCTTGACCATGTCATCTCCCATGACCATGGTCAATGAAGAGTCGATGGTAGAGGAAACATCAGAGCACCTAAAGTCCACTGAGACAAGAGGAACATCACACACGTCCAATACGCCCTTCAATGGCCCCTCAGCCGCCTTTCTAAATGCAGCGTTCACATCTTCCGCCGTGATACTCTTCTTCTCAACATTCACAACCAGGTCAACAACTGATACATTAGGTGTCGGCACACGAAGTGCGATGCCGTTGAGCTTGCCCTTGAGTTGAGGAAGCACAAGAGAGACAGCCTTGGCAGCACCTGTACTTGTCGGTACAATGTTCAATGCTGCAGCCCTGGCTCTTCTCAAGTCACGGTGTGAAGCATCTAAGAGCCTCTGGACAATCACAACCAAAACCTTCAGTTTTCTTGTCTGCCAAAGCAATTAATTCTTTCGACGTATAATCTATCACGAAACCTAATTGTCGAGTTCATCAGTAGACCGCAAAGTGTTTGATTAAACAGTACCTGGTCTCCGGTGTAAGAGTGGGTAGTTGTCATTGTACCCTTGACAATGCCTGGCAAAGTGAAAGAAGGTTAGCTAATCTTAAACTGCTAACACGAATGGAATTAACCTAAAAAACTGAGAAAGTCCATTCCTAGATGGTTTTAAGCTGTGAAATGATGTATAAATATGAACAATGCTTACCAAGTTCTTCATCCATGACTTTCACAAAAGGAGCCAAGCAATTTGTGGTGCATGAAGCATTGCTGCAAGTATAAAACTGCAATCAAATTCTAAACCACTAGAACAACAGAGAAACGTAGAATGATTATCATGATCGATTCATTAGCAGGTAACTCTTTGTTCAAAACTGACCTTATGATGTTCGCGACCTCGTGGCCATAATCCCCTTCATTGACTCCAACAACATAGGTCGGAATGTCTGCACCTTTAGCTGGAGCTGTTATGATAACTTTCTTGGCACCAGCTTGTATGTGCTTCCCAGCCCCAGGGCCATCTACAAACACTCCTGTTCCCTGTAAGATGCATGTCAAATTATTCTATTATCTAACAGTAGAGGTATAAATTTATGGCATATGCATGACATGTTCTTTTTAGTCAGGAATCACGATCTTGTAGTTTTCTGCCTGGGGGCTACATAAATTCCAACACTAAGGGCAAGGACCTACCTCGATGACGATGTCGATGCCAAGTTCAGCCCACGGAAGCTTGAGAGGGTCCCTGTTAGAGACGACTTTAATGTGCTTACCATCAACACTGATAGTTTCATTGTCTACTATCTTCACATCAGCTTTGAAAGTTCCCAGCATTGAATCATACTTCAGCAAGTGTGAAGCCTGGTTTTCATTTTTTGTAGATCGTGGTTAATATATGAATCTAACCAAATTTCATTCGTTTTAACTCTTAAAAAAGCATGACAAAACACAGTTACTTACATTCTTGACTCCACCACTGTCATTTACGACAACCACGTCGAGAGGCGAGTTCTTCCTGCCATGCCAACATCGGAGAAAGTTCCTGCCAATGCGTCCAAATCCGTTGATCGCGACCTTCAATTTGGCAACTGTTTCGCCCCTAACAGGAGTTGCTCGTACTCCTACAATCTAAATTTCAAAACATTTTCAAGTGATCAGTACCATAAACCTAGTAGAATAAGGTTTGCAGATGGATCATTTTAGTTCTTATGCCAGCTGTCTAATGAAATTCACAACTTGTCTAATAACGGACGAACATTGAACTCAAAAAACAAAATTTTGAGGAAGTGAATGAACCTTTGGAGTAAGTTGAGCAGCCACAATATCGAAAAAGGACGCATCTCGAGCATTGTTGACGAAGGTGACGCACGAGATGGATCGAAGTCCAGAGAACTCAGCAACTTGTAGTCTCTGCACAACAAGAACAAAAATGAGTATCACAGGATCAAAAGAGCAAGAAAAACTACATTCAAACACCTGGAAAAAGAAAGAAAGAAAGAGATAGACCTTGGTGGAGCATTGGCTTGGAGCAGGGAAAGAGTAAGTGGTCCTAGATGGAAGCCTGGCTGTTGCAGGGAATCTTGAAGGAGCTATAGCTGCCATGGATATTGGTTGCAAGAAAAAACTAAAAGATCAAACGTACCTGACGTCTAGGCCAGTATTATAGTTAAATTATTAGCATAGAAGGTATGGAATATGGATGAAAGTGGAGTAGTGGAACGTGTGGTGAATATGGACCAGGAGTATGCATCTATGTGATAAGATCTAAGACTAAGATTGTGTCCGTGAAGACAATTCATAATTTGAGGCACGGATATAGGACCGCCCACCGTCGAGAAAGGGATTTCGGTACTATATAGTGTAATAATGCAATTAGTTTAGAATCAATAGCAGCCTGCCACTGTCAAAGACCGGAGGCCCATCCCATCAACAGCTTCACATGAGTCCAAGCCCAAAAGTACTAAAGGAGATCGTTTGTTGCTTTTTAATGGGCAAACTATCCCAAGATATTAAACTATTGGTTCAATTTTTTTTTTTGGATAATCAAGATTTTATTACCAAAAAATAGCAGCAAGCTGCTAACAATAAAGTCCAATCAATATAACAAGAACTGAGATCAATTTACATCAAAATTATATTATACATCAGTGGTTACAAAGAGCTGAATTTATACTATCTAATCTATTAATATTCCTATTACTTAGAATAGATCTAACTATCTCCTTAATAGTATTAATAATTCTCTCTTCGATTCTGCAAGTTCCTTTGAATATCCTGCGATTCCTTTCCTCCCAAATGGTGTAATTAAAGGCGCACCATGATAGCTTCAGAATTCAAGTGATCAATGAATTACCTTTCCATGTAGATGTCGCCCAATCCAGCAGGTTTGGCCAAGTCGATAATTGCCTGCTCAAACTAGAAAGTTGAATGATTGATCTCCAGATGGAAGCTGTCTTCGAGCACTCGGCGAAGAGATGGTTTCTAGTTTCTTTTGCTTCCGAACAGAAGATGCAAAGATTGTTGGTAATAAGGCCAAAGCGTTGCAGTCTGTCCTTAATGGGTAGCCATTCCAGAATAACAAACCAGGAAATTAAGCTATGCTTCGGAACATGAAGGGAAAACCAGATTAATTTATGCCATGGGACTTTAATATCTTTAGGACGAATCTCGTTCCAAATATCCTTTGTGGTTTTTGCTGCTGTTATAGGCACTGTTTGGGCAACTTTTCTGATTTTCAGCATACACTTGAATCTCCAGCTTACGCTTTGCGGTTCTTCCATGGTCCAGAAGTCATGTTGCTTGATTATATAGTTATGAATCCACGCTACCCATAGAGAACCTTCCCCCGCGAGTAATTTCCTGGTGAGATGAATTAAGCAGGCGTTGTTCCAGGATTTAATATCCTTTAAACCTAGGCCTCCTTCGGATTTTGGTTTACAAACTTTCTCCCAACTCAACCTTGTGATAACAGCAGGGGTGTCCAATCCTTTCCAGAAAAATCTGGAACATAATTGCTCTATCTTTTTGATAATGGAATGTGGTAATAAAAGCTGCATGCACCAATAATTAGTGACGCTATAGAGAACAATTTTAATAAGTTCAGCCCTGCCTGCATAGCTCATTTTCTTCCTAGACCATTGATGAAGTCTGCTCTTGATATTGTCAAGCAGTGATTGACAGTCTTTATCAGTAAATTTTCTGGTTACAAGTGGAATCCCCATGTAACGAACAAGCAATCTACTGTGTTTGAAACCAGAATAATTGATGACAGAACCAAGAGTATGAGCTGGAATACCTGCAGTGAAAATCTCGCATTTACCTGCGTTAAGCTTCAACCCAGAATATTCGTAAAAGCAGTCCAAAACAGTAATGACTCCCATAACATACTCAAGGTTTCCTTTGCAGAAAATTAATAAGTCATCCGCAAATGATAGGTGTGTGAGTCATATTTTCTTACATTTAGGATGAAAGGCAAAAATCCCTCTAAGAGCAGCTTTATTGAGGATGTTAGAGAGAACATTCATAACCAGGACAAATAAAATAGGTGAAAGCATATCTCCTTGTCTGATTCCCTTGGCTCCCTTAAAATATCCAACCAAGCTTCCATTGAGAGCAATGGAGTATCTCGCATCTGTATAGCATGAGACGATCCAATCGATGAATTTAGGAGGTAATTCCAGTTCTTTAAGAACTGCATAAATAAAGTCCCAATTTATGGAGTCAAAAGCCTTATGAAGATCGATTTTGAGAGTACATCTTGGTGAAATGATCTTCCTCCCATATCCTTTGACTATTTCCTGAGCGAGAAGGGTATTATCAACTATACTTCTTTCTTTGACAAAAGCAGACTGATTAGGAGCAATAATCTTAGGCAGTAGATTTTTCATTCTATTGACAAGAATCTTTGTAATGGTCTTGTAGATAACCGAGCAACATGAAATGGGTCGAAAATAAAAAACTTTACTCGGATTTGGCTGTTTTGGAATCAAAGCAATAATGGTTGCATTAAAGGCTGGATAAATGAAAGATTCTTGAAAGAAGTATTTTATTGCCTTAGTAACATCACTGTCAATCACTGGCCAAACTTTCTTGAAAAAGAGAGAGGTGAAACCGTCAGGTCCGGGAGCCTTGCCATTGCCTTGGCTGAAAATAACATCTTTAATCTCATCATTAGTAACTTCCATGACAAGAGCTTTAGAGTTTTCAAGTGATGGAATTTGTGGCATAAGACATTTCACAAGTGTAGAAGAGCAATCTTTTACTATAGGATCCTTGGAACCTAAAAGATTCTTGAAGAATTCTATTATTTCCGATGATATTTCCTCAAATGATTCAAGTATTTCCCCCCGATTATTGACAAGGACCCGTATAGTCTGTCTCTTGTTCTTAGTAGCAATGACTGAGTGAAAGAACTTTGTGCATTTATCACCATCCTTTAGCCAATGCATTTTAGCTTTTTGTTTTAAGAACATGGTCTCAGCTTCTTCTAAAGAATTGAACTCTCTCTGCAACTCGAGTTCTTTCTCAATGGATTCATCTCCTCTTAAGGTAAGAATTTGATGCCTTTCAAGTTCTTCTCTTTTTTGTCTAGCTCGAGCCGAGATGTCACTAAAGTAGTCTTTGTTGAGTTGTTTAAGACTAGCCTTGAGTCGTTTGAGCTTTAAGAATAAAGACTTCATTGGGCTGCCTTGAGCTGCCATATTCCAAGAATGACTAACAATATTAAGAAACTCTGGATGAATAGTCCAACAATTGAAGAATTTGAAGGGTTTAAGACCATTTAAATGAGCTTCTTTGTAGAGATCCACCACTGCCATACAATGATCAGAATGACCGGGAGCTAAGAATTCCATACATGAGTGAGGAAAAGATTCGAACCACATAGGATTAATGAGTACTCTGTCGAGTTTTCGAGCAAGGTAGTTGTCACTTTTCTTATTGCTCCAGGAATATATAGGACCAAAGAAAGGATGATCTTGTAACTGTAGGTCATGAGTGATTTCTTGAAATTCTATCATGTCAGAGGAAGTAATCATACCCGTAAGCTCTTGATCAGAACTTTCATAATTGTTCAAGATGACATTGAAATCACCTCCCAAAAGCCAAGGAAGGTCACTAAAATTTGGTTCAAGGTGTCGGAGTTCTTGCCAAAGTTGTCTTCTAGTAATACCATTATTACTACCATATATTGCGGTAATAATGAATGGAACATCGTTAAACATACCTTTGACAATGATACTCTGATCCGTAGCTTTACATAATGATAAATCCAGACCTTTCCTCCACAAAATCCAAATTTTGCCATTAACTGCAAAATCATAGTTAGTGAGAACATTCTAATTCACAAAAGAGGTAGCTAATAAATCTGTTGATTTCTCTAATTTCACTCGAGTTTCCATCAAGCAAAGAATTTCTACATTATTCTTGGCTGCCCTTCGTAGGACTTGGCCTTTTTTAAGAGGATTATTTAATCCTCTTACATTCCAGAAGAAAATGATCATTTTCCTTTGGGGGAGGAGCCCGAGTCCCCTCATTGACTACTTGAAGTATAACGCTTGGATTTGTCAACATGAGCCCTCTTTTTAGTTTTGAGTTCTTTGATCAATTCTGCAACACCAGAAGATGCTGCTCTTACTTCTTTTCCTTGATTCTCTGAGGTAGTATGTGTTTCTTCCATCGTGTTCAATAATTCAAAACGGTTTCTAGGCCCTGTTAATGTATTATGAGCTTTGTCTTGCCTTGTAGTACCCCTTTTATTAGGTAATGATGGAACAGAAAAACTATTTGCTGAATTACCCAGCTGATCTGGAATTTTGGAAATTCCTTCAACATTAAGTTCAGAAGTGGTTCCTTGATCAATAACAGTGGAATTAGAGAAATCTGATTTTATGGGATCACCCGAAGCAACAGAATCATTTTCAAAATGATGTGATTCTAAGCGAGATTGATTATTTGTGTCGTTATCCTTCAGAGGTTTGTTCAAAGAGGATTCAGGATTGGCAGCCTTAGAATTTTGATTTTCTACAGTGTTAGCAGTTTCAGAATCCAGCGTGGATGGGGAGGCAAGGTCTTTTTTCCTCCAGACCAGAGTAGAGGCTTGAGAGGCAAGATTATGCTTACATCCTTTAACACTGTGACCAAACACTTTGCAGTTTTTACAGGTAGGAGGCAACCACGGTATATCGACAAAAATCGAAGTTGTAGAACCGTTGTTAAGCACAACGTCAATAACCTTAGGGATAGCATCAGATTCCCCAATTTCAACACACACTTTAGCGAATTCTAACCTAGATTTAGATGCAGTGATAGAATCCATTGAAAGTGGGAAGCCTATGGCACTAGCTATATAACTAAGGCCTTCACAAGAAAACAATTCAAGGGGAACGTTATATAAGTGTACCCAGATAGGTATTCTTGATAAATCAAGCTGCAGTTTTTCCATGTTAGGAACTTATTTCCTAAGGATTAATGGTTTGTTGAAGATGTGCCAAGGGCTATCCTCCAATACCCAATTCCTAGCTTGTTCTGCACTAAAAGAAAATAGGTAAAGATTGTTACCTGCGTAACTGACCTGCACATTGGATCCTTGCAGAGGCTTTCTCCACAGGGAATCAATAATCTGTTGCAGAGAAGTAAATTTGGGAGCAGCCCCCAAAAATTGCCCAACAAACGAGAATCTCCATTCTTCAATTCCACCTTCGAAAACTTACGGCGGTGGATGAACAGTCGAAACCTCATCTCTCGAGTCTGGGGGAAAATAGTGAAGTTGATTTCTAGCAGCGCATGGGAATAGTTTGCGCCAGTCCATCGATTAACCGTGAGATACTTTAAAACAGATTGAGGATGAGTGAGTGAAGGGAGAGATTTGCAGAGATGAACGGATCACCGGAAGCACAGCAGTAGATTCCTCAGATTCCATTAGACCCTGACGTAACTGTTGGGGGACCATATTGTAAACAGACTAAATATTGGGGACTGTATTGCAATTTTTAAAAGTTGAGGGACCTAAATGAAAGCTTTAGAAAAGTTTAGTGACCATTACTATACTTTACCCTAATAATAATTTTATTGATATTCAAATGAATTAATTTGTATTTATGAATAGGTCTTTTAATAAAATTTTATTTTTCTAATTGATGAAATGATGCATTTAATATTATCCCAATTTACAACCACCATTCACAGTCACTGTACAACAAATCTAATTTAATTAATTAGCAGGATGATCAGCTGGCTAATAATTAATTAGGAGATGTATACAGATTGATCAATTCTGTACGTTGGATGAATTTGATCATGATTGAATCTCATTCTACATCAATTTCTCTACGAGCCTGTACCTTGAACAAGTAGAGCTACGATAATCCAGGTTTTCCATATACTCTTAGACCCACATAAGCCAGTAGCCTGTATCCGACCAACATTATTATCAAAGCAACCCCATCACACCACCTATTATCATAATCAAGACCCAAATACTTGATCGCCGGAAAATCGACGACCTTGCAACGCCTCCCGATCTCACATTTGTACAACTCGTTCGCCGAGTACTGCACCCCGACCAGAAGTTTATAGCAGTAGTGACTGAAGGAGATGTACTTTAACCAAGCTATGAAATCAGGCATGTGGTGAATGTAGTATCCGCCCACTAATAGAAACACCAGCATGGTCACGGAGGCCAAGGTTGTGGCCTGTTTTACGTCCATTAGAACGGCTCCCATTGCCAGCCCTAGCGCTTGAGAGACCAGCACGTTTAAGAGTACGATCGAGAGGGTTAGAATAAATGTTAATAGTGAAGGCTTGAGTCCTCCCATCCAATATGTTACAGTCACGAATATCGTGGGAAGAACGAGCTCCATCGGCAAATAGCCGGCTGTTCGGGCGATGTAATACGAGGATAATTGGTACATCCCCGACGATCTTTCTCTGAATAACATTGGAAGCTCTTGTGGGAAGGTGAATATGGCATTGAACAGAGGGAAAAACCCCCAGAATATTGAGAAGAAAAATAAAAGTCCCACCTGCAAACAAAAATATCAATTTAGTTATGTGTTCTGGTTTCGAATTACGATTTCATGATATGGAACCTGATCTTGTAAGTGGTAAGTATCGGAATGCCACCAGAGGAGGCCGGAAAGAACCGAGACCGACATGACTTGAAATATCCGTAGGCCCGAAAAGGATTCATGCTTCCTCTCTTGTACACCCCTTGTCAACAAGACCTTGAATTGTTCCCACCAGCTGCTGTTCCATTCAACCTCACTTGATTTCGATGATTTAGAAGTTGGAAAAGATGAATCTTGCGGATTCTGACTGATATCCGCCTTCAATGTAGGGTATATGTTCTTCTTGTAAGACGATATTAGCAACTGTTTTGTGGAATTTTGATCATCAGGGTGGTCTACTCTGCCATGAAACTCTTGTTGTTGCTCGTCCGGTTTTGTATCAGGGGCTATACCTGCTTCATCAAAACAGTCAGAATTTCAACTGCCTACAGCATTCAAACAATGAACCATAATAAATGAGCAAAATCATGGCCGAGCGGGGACTGCCCAAAAAAGATGATAAAATTATTGTAGTAGAATTTAAAAATCAAGGGGATGGTGGAGCTCCGATCATCAAGAAACAAAATTCTAGTCAAAAAGAGCAACAACAAAATTATTTAAAATATAAAGAAAATTTATCGAGTTTGTAATTTTTTAGAATAAATTAGATAATATTTTAAGTTAAAATAAAAAATATTATATTTTTTATAACAATTCATATAAATTACATAATTATTCGGATTGTAAGTTAAAAAACTATTATTATAAATGAAATTATTATCATTCATATAACTTTTTAAAACAAATAATTAAAATTTTAAATTAAAACCTGAAGCAACATTATCAATTATAACTGAAATTATTATAAGGGTAAAGTATATTAATGGTCACTGAACTTTTCTAAAACTTTCATTTAGGTCTCCAACTTTTAAAACTTTTAATATAATCCCCCAAAATTTAGTTCGTTTGTAATATTGTCCCTCAACATTTAGTCCGTTTGCAATATGGTCCCCGATGTAACTGTTGGAGGACCATATTGCAAACGAACTAAATGTTGGGGACTATATTACAAGTTTTAAAAGTTGAGGGACCTAAATGAAAGCTTTAGAAAAGTTCAGTGACCATTACTATATTTTCCCATAAATTTATTTTACCAAGCAGGGGCGGAAATGCAATCTCGTTCCATGGTAGGTGTGAGGCGATGAAGAGTTTAATTTTGAGTTAATAAATTCTTATAATATTTAAATTAATTAATTGAATATAAATGATTATAAAAATTAATTATTTGCTTGAAATATTCATTCAACTTAAAGTTTAAAATAATTTTTTATGTTTGTTTAAAATTTTAAAATTATATTTATATTTATTTATTTTAAATTTTGTTTATTCCTATTTGTTTGTGAATGTTAATACATATAAAATAATTAAACACAAATATTAATACATTATAAATGCGCACAAATAATAATAATTATAATTGTATAAAAATAAAAAAAAATAAGATTGAAATAATCTATTAAAAAATTAAATAAACATTATTGAATTTATTCCTAAATATAAATAAACTGATTATCTCAACTTTTAAAGTAATTTAAGTTTGGTTATAGAAACAAATAAAGTATATAAATTATCTCTCGATAATAAGATATTGTTTTATTGAGTCATCGGCTATTATAAGTTACATAATGATACCTCGATTAAAGAGATTTTTTTATTGAGTCCTTCGACTATTGAAAGTTACAAAATGGTCATTTGATTATTCATTATATTCTAAACTCGTCATTTTTCATTAAAAAATGATCGTATGAGCTGAACGTTAACATATTTACTAGATATATGATAGTTGTTTAAGATTACGAAATCAGATTTTATCATATATCATTCATTAGGTTAACGTCCAGCTCAAATTACTGTCAACTTTTTAATAAAAAAAAAGACAAGTTTGGACTTTGGAACATAATGAATAATTAAATGACCATTTTGTAACTTTTAATAGTTAAGAGACTCAACAAAATAAATATCTATAAACATGAGACTACTTTATAACTTTTAATAATTAGATGACTCACAACAAAACAACTCTCTATAAACAAGAGATTATTTTATAACTTTTAATAATTAGATGACTCAATAAAGTAATATACTATAATTGAGACATCACTTGTACACTTTACCCAAAACAATCTTACAATATCGTCACCTATATTAAAGAATTTTTTTATATATATTAATCAATATTACATTTGATCCCATAAAATGTACCTTAACCCAGTCGGCATGTGGAGGAGACTGAGCTGAATCTTTTTATTTCAGTGTGAGAACATCTCTATCTCCGTAACGTAATGACATCAATTTGGCTTCTTCAATTCCCTTCCCTTCCTTCCAGGTAACTCCCAAAATTTTCCAAGCATTTTATTTAATTGCCTTTTCGTTTGCCTCCATCGGATTGGGTTTCTTTTTTCTGTGCGAATTCTCTGATATTTGCCTTCAATTTGGGGTGGAAGCACCGGGTTTCTTCAAATGTAACATCGTTGCTACTACTACATCGTAGGCATTGCCTAACACATCGGCTCAACTGGATTCCTCTAACACCTAATAGAACGTTTTCGATGAGAGCTATTAATGATTCAATTAGCTCCGAGGAGGACAATCGTGCCCAGACCAAGGTCGTGGAAACAGCGAAAAGTACTCTGGTGGTAGATTCCAAACATCCACTTTCCTTGTTTCAGGAATCCATTACATCTTCCCCTCCTATTGTTTTCCTGGTAATGTTCACCTACACTTATCTGCATTCCAAATAGCCTAAACGTAATTTCTAGCTTAGATTTTGAGCCTAAAGAAGTATTTTGTTATATAATTTTTCAACATCTGCTCCTATGTTGCTGTAAGGAGTACTCCAGTATGATTCATCTTTTACTTGTGTTGCTCGTCTTTGTTATATTGCTTTTCATTATCATACCAGTAGAGACTGTTTGTATGAATTACTAGAAAAATGAAAGTCTAACATGAAGAACTCTGTCCATTTCATTTTTGTCTCAGATGAAAATTTTCCCTAGAAACTACTTTACAGTGGGGTTGTGCATTACAATCGCAATTATGGTTGTTGCTCGGAGAGCATACGCAGAGAGGAAGTCAAGCCAAAGCCATCCTGGTTCTGTAGCTGATCTTGTAAGGCGTGGCCAGATAAGATCAGATAGAAGAGGCATGTATGATTTCGCTCTGTGATATATTTTCCTTTATCTTGCAGCCTTTGCAAAGGATATAAATATTGTGAATATATTGCTTTGTGGTAGTTTGGTCGCTTACATAACGTTACAAGATGGTTTTTTCTGTTATTTAAGGGCTAGCATCTCGTTGTGTCCCTCAACAATTTTAATTCTACTTTCACATTTTGCATCTTCGGCGACAATGTGCTTACCTTGTGTTTATGGTGATGTCAGTAATCTGTCTTATTTTACAGATCGATGCCTCTCAAGTATGATGACCCATTTAATAATCCATTGGTTAAGGTTGGGAAGAGCAATTCGACTGTAGAGATGTGTGGAAAGCAATATCGCTTAGCTCCAGTTACTCTTACTGAAGAGCAGCAAGCTGTCCATCAGAAAAGGAGATCAAGAGCATACCAGTGGAAGAGACCAACAGTATTCCTTAAAGAGGGGGATACAATTCCTCCGGATGTTGATCCTGATACAATCAGATGGATTCCTGCAAATCATCCTTTTGCAGCCACTGCTAGTGGCATTGATGAAGACTTGGAACAAAATAATGTCTACCAACAACGTGGTGTTCCATTCCGTATTAAGGCTGAGCATGATGCACTACAGAGAAAGCTTGAAGCACTACAAAAGGTAAGTATTTCTGTAACTCTTGCAGTGGCAATGAAATAGTACCAACAAGCTTCTTACAGGATGGATAGCTAATATATTATTGAGAATTTCTGTAGCCAATGTAATCAGTTTACTTTGTCTGCATAGTCAACAATGTAGTTCCATCAGTAGTTTTGGATGATAAATTACTAATGGACTAGATTAGTTTGCAGTTTCGTTTGGCGACTGCAATATTTTTCACAGGCTATTGCTCATATGAAGCTGATAATCTTTGATCAAACGGTTCTGCTTATCGTAAATGATGTCTTTTCTTCGGGGAGGGGGGCATAAAGTGTTGGAGATTCACATCTGCAAGCTTCTTGATTTAAGTTATTATCTACTCAAATGGTTAATGGAGCCCCATTTATTCTGCATCATATCTACATATTTCGCCAATTGCACTTGTGGTTACCAGACAAGTAATTTGCTGCCTACTTTTGAAAATTTGAATTGTTTGTATGCAGGAAGAAAAGTTGAACAATCTGTTTATCGCCAGTAGAAATGCTAAAGAATTCCGAAGGACGTTCAAATTAAATGACAAGTCAGAAGAACCCGTTGAGCAGGGCCCCAATAACAATTCCAGAGTTGAACTAAGCCCACTAAAACAGAGCGGGCCTCTGATTCGATTGAACGCAACACGTCTTCGGAGGAAATGCAGCAACCCTGAAATATTTGGTGGAGTTAGGAGTGTTTGGATCAAAGAATGTGAGATTTCTAAGTGAATGGAATCTACATCCCCATATTTGGTTGGCCAGGAATCTCATTCCATGTAATGTTTTATTATCAATAGTAGGTTTTTTTGGGTATATTACCGGAAAAGTCATTACCTCCATTTCTTTAGGTATTATTGGATTACCGCGTTTTGGACTAAAATACTCTTAAATTTTTTTTCCAAAAATATCATTCTTATGTTATTAAATAAAAAAAATTTTACGAAGGTTAAATTACAAATTTATCCTTAAACTATTTTAGATTTACAAAAAAAAAATCTATAATTAAAATTTTATATGAAATTCTAGGGCTAAAATAAAATTTTACCTTTTTATTAAACCTTTTTACATTTTGTAAACAAAATATAAATTTATAAATTTAAATTTTTTAAAGAAAATATATAAATATTTTTCAACTTGTTAAAAAAACAAATATATAATAAGGACAATTTGGTCAAATATACATTTAAATAATATTTTATTCATTTAACCAAACATGGTAATCTTACATTTCTGTTAAATCAACCAAACACAAAATAAAACATTCTCAGTAATCCTATTCCATGGTAATCTTACATTCTAACTGATAATCTTATATTTCGTGAACCAAACACACACTTAGTGTCATTTATGTAGTACTAGTTCTATTCGGCAATGAACTCTTGATTTTGTATTATATGAAAAGATAAATCTCCTTGTGAATTACCACTAGGTGGCTCAAACTGATCTGCTGTTTTAAAATGGAGAGCAAAGTTGTACATATAATTGCAGTACTAAATTATATCCATTAATATAAAAATGCAGATTGTTCTATGTTAGGGTTTTTTTTGTTTTTCCTTTACGACAGACATAATCATAGCCTTGCAGTCTGCCTGATAGCAAATAAATATCTAAAATGAAAATTATTTACATGAAAAGTTAATATTGTCTATATATTCTATTAATATTAGGGTAAAGTATAGTAATGGTCACTGAATTTTTTTGAAGTTTTCATTTAGGTCCCTAAATTTTTAAAATTTGAAATACAGTCTCCCAACATTTAATTCGTTTGCTATACGGTCCCCAATATTTAGTCCATTTGAGATATGGTCCCCAACGTAACTGTTGGGGACCATATTGCAAACAAACTAAATGTTGGGAGATAATATTGCAAGTTTTAAAAGTTGGGGACCTAAATGAAAGCTTTAGAAAATTTCAATGACCATTACTATACTTTACCCAATTATTTATTTTATATTTTATTTTATAATATATCATATTCAAGTATTAATTAATCTTATGTTTTATGTTATAAATATAATTAGAGTATTATATAATTTATTTTTAGGTTATTCAAATTTTAATTCATAATTAAATTAAATTCTATTATAATTCAAATGATTCAAAATTTTACGTAAGAATTCAATAATTTTACCCAAACAACATCCTTACCCTCGTTCTTAGAGGGCGACCTCAATAGTACGACGTGGTGGAGTGTCTACTCAAGAAGGTGTTAGTTAAGGCTGTAAAATCAGGTAATCTATCATGTTTATGTAACACCCCAACCCGTACTCGACTCGAATACGTGTCCGAGGTGTCACTTTGACTTTTCAAACTTTGACTCTTAAAGAAAAACCCCGGGAATTTAAAACTTTGTTTAAAAATAAAATACGTTAATTTACATAAAAGAGACCACAAAATACAAACTCGATCAGAGTGCTCATAATTAACGACTTATTACATGTCAACACTCTATACACAACAAAATACCTATTTTGTTGATTACTTCTGATCTGATCTTTTAGTAATAGTAATGTCCTTGCTACTTTTATTCTTGCTCTTCTCGTTTCTTGGTACCTACGTGTAAATCATTTACACGCTAAGTTATATACTTAGTGAGACAATAAATAAACATGTAACAGTAGATTCATGAATATGCATTCTTACCATTTGATCATGATATTTCAATATGCATGTATATATTTCATATGACATATATAACCATGTCATGCACATATAAAACTTACATTTTTGCATCACTTTCACTTTAATTTATATTTCAATTGCCCGTGTATATTGTTGTTGAGAACAAAGGTATGTGAGTACATTGAGGTTGTGCACTAATGCTGTCACCACAGCTCGTATAAATTCCCTCATTGGCACCGAACATTTGTTCAGTATTCATCTCGAATGACTGCTATATATGTTCCGTAGGACCACTACGTCCTGAAAGACTACAATACCCTCGACTCTTGGCATGCCAACTATACCTATAACTCTCGTATCATATAATATGGGCATTTACGATAAATACATTTCTCATCACTTGTTCTTTCTTTTCTGTCACATACCACATGTATGTGTAACCATGTATTTCATATCATATCACATAGCTTATCTCATTTCACATTGGTCATGTCTCATAGCATATATCACATATGCATATAATCATGTATATCATATCATATATATTATGTTTTATGCTCTTATGTCTATGCATATCATGTAACAAATATAATAACCTATACTCATTTCATGTATTCATGCACATATAAGAATCACAAATCAAATAACATTTTAGGAGTCACTTCTTACCATAGTAACTCCATCACTAGCTCATCGCAAGCCAATGATCGTTCAATAATATAAGTACAATTAAAATTGCACTCACCTTAGCCTTATTTGCTTTGATTCGATCATAATCCTTTGATTATTCTGGAGCTTGTTTAGACTCAATATCTACATAAATATAACATTTCAAAACAACTATCAGAAGCATAAACCTTAAACTTGATGTTAACAACTTAAACCAAATTAAAGAACCAAATTCCATTTTTCATTTAGGGGGAATCGATACCACTAAACATACTGGAATTTTTCGTTCAAGAGGGGGAATCGATTCTTATTCATAGGGTATCGGTTCCCTCTACCCATAAATTGTATTTTAAGCCCGAAAATCATCAATTCTTCATTCAATTCTTCTATTTTAAACCCCTACCATGTCATTAAACTCAACTACCATTACTTAAACCAACTTATATCCATGAAAATCATCTATAACTTCAAAATCCTATCCTTCATATGTAATTCACGAATCATACTCAAATTTCAATATGTTCTAAATACAATTCTAACACTTCATATTCCTTAATTAACATGATGACAAGTCAAATTTAACTTCAAATTCAACTTATCAACTCTTTTTCATAGTTTCATATAAAAACTCGTTTTCTTTAATTTCTTATAACTTCTTCATTTTTTGATTATAAGACAACTTAAGCTTTCCTTAAGCTTAGTTATCATCTAATGATCAAAACCTAACCTTTAATTTAACAAATAACTAACAAATCAGAAAACTAACCTTATGCTTTGGCTTTCTCGTATGAAAGAACAAAGAGGAGAAGAAGAAGAAGAATCTCTAGATATTTCTTCTTATCCATTTCCTTCGTATATATCCCCAACATATCACATTTTAATTCATTTAATGGTTAAATGACCATTTTGCTCTTTAATTCCTTTAATAATTACTAATAACTTTCAGGAAATATTTCCAAACAAATCATTAGACTATACAAATATCCTATTTAAATCACCAAACTCTGAAGTTTTATGATTTAGTCACTAACCCGTATTTTGGGATGTTACAAATCTCTCCCCCTTAAGAAAATTCGTCCTCGAATTTTCATTGTACAAAGATATGGGGATATTGAATCTTCGTGTCCTCTTCACGTTCCCACGTCGCTTCTTTCACCTTGTGATTTCTCCACAACACTTTGACTAATGGAATAGTCTTGTTCCTTAATTGTTTAACTTCATGGGCTAAAATTCGGACTGATTATTCCTTATATGTCAAATCCGATTACACTTCTATTTCTTCTGGTGATATAATATAGGAGGGATCAGATCGATACTTATGAAGAATTGAAACATGAAAGACATTGTGAATTTTCTCCATTTCAGGTGGCAAAGCTAATTGATATGCCACTGGTCCCACTCTCTTAACGATTTCATATGATCCAATAAACCGATGACTCGATTTTCCTTTACGTCCAAATCTCAGTACTTTCTTCCACGAAGACACTTTCAAGAACACTTTATCTCCGATTTGAAACTCAATTTCTTTCCTTTTGAAATCAGCATATGATTTCTGTCTATCAGATGAAGCTTTCAGATTATTTTGAATTACTTGAACTTTCTTTTCCATTTCCTGAATCAACTCAGGACCAATAACTTCTCGATCCTTAAGTTCATACCAATTCAAGGGTGTACGACATATTCTCCCATATAAAGCTTCATAGGGAGCCATTTTGATGTTTGACTGATAACTATTGTTGTATGCAAATTTAGCAAGTGGCAAATATTTTTCCCACAATCCTTTAAATTCGATAACACAAGCTCTTAACATATCCTCCAGAATTTGAATAGTTCGTTCAGATTGACCATATGTCTGAGGATGAAACGATGTGCTAAATTTCAGTTGTGTGCTCAATGCTCCATGTAAAAACTTCCAAAATCGTGACGTGAATCTAGGATCCCGATCAGAAATTATGAAAACAGGTACACCATGTAACAATATAATCTCTTTAATATATAACTCATCATATTTATCCATAGAGAAATCAGCTCGTATCGGAATGAAATGAGCTGACTTAGTCAACCTGTCTACAATCACCCATATTGAATCTCTTTTGTTCTGAGTTAAAGGCAACCCCATCACAAAATCCATCGTTACATTCTCCCATTTCCATTGAGGAATTGAAATTGATTGTAACAGTCCCGACGGACCCTGATGCTCAGCCTTAACTTGCTGACAAGTCAAACACTTAGATACGAATTCTGTAATGTCTTTTTTCATTTTCAGTCATCAATATCGACTCTTGAGGTCCATATACATTTTGTTTCCTCCTGGATGCATCGTTAATGGACTACAGTGAGCTTCCATTAATAAATCATTCTTTAATTCATTAACATCTGGAATCACTAGCCTCCCTTGATAATAAAGGTTCTCATCAGTTTTCATCTCATAATCTGTACACTCTCCATTCTTTATTTGCTGCAATTTCTTTGAACATTTTTCATCTTTAGCTTGTAATTCTTTAATTCGATCTAACCATGATGGTTTGATAGTCAATTCCGCACAAATTGCACCATCTCCGCCTAATGATAGTTTAGCATCCATAGCTCGTAAGGCTGCAAACGTCTTTCGGCTTAAAGCATCCACTACAACATTTGCCTTTCCGGGATGGAAATCAATCACAACATCATAATCCTTGAGAAATTCCACCCATCTTCTCTGTCTTAAATTTAACTCTTTCTGAGTCATCAAGTACTTTAAACTTTTGTGATTCGTATACAAGTAAGATTTTTCACTATACAAGTAATGACGCCAGATCTTTAAAGCGAACACTACTGCAGCCATCTCCAGATCGTGTGTCGATAATTCTTCTCATACGGTTTTAATTGTCTCGAAGCATAGGCCACCACCTTGCTTTCTTGCATTAATACACATCCTAAGCCATTATGAGACACATCACTATACACTACAAAGTCCTTGCCAGACTCAGGTTGGACTAACACTGGAGCTTCTGTCAAAATCTTCTTTAACTTTTCAAAACTCTCTTGGCATTCTTAAGTCCAAGTAAATTTTACTTCCTTTCTCAACAGCTTAGTTAGGGGTAATGCTATTATTGAAAAGTTTTTAACGAACCTTCGATAATAACCAGCTAACCCCATAAAACTTCAAACTTCTGACACATTCTTTGGAACTTCCCACTCCATAATAGCTTTAATCTTTTGAGGATCCACTCGAACTCCTTCTGCATAAATTACATGTCCAAGA